TTTTCTATGTAGACTGTCATATTATCTGCCCATAAAGACAGTTTTATTTATTTTTTCCAATATAGATGCCTTTTAGTTTGTTCTTTTTCCTTACTGCACTGGCCATACTCCCAGCACAATGTTGAATAAAAGTGGTGAGAGCAAACACCTTGCATTATTCCTGATCTTAAGAGTAAAGCATTCAGTCTTTCACCACTAAGTGTGATGCTAACTGGGTTTTTCATAGATGTTCTCTTTGAGATTGAGACAATTCTTTTTGATTCTAGTTTGTTAAGTGTTTCTGCAAGGATTAGATGTTAGATTTTGTCAAATGTTTTCTTTTTATTCTGTTAATATGGTAAATTATATTGATTGATTTTCAAATGTTAGCCTTGCATTCCTTTCATAAACCCTGATTGGTCATGAATTGACCATTGTCCTATTTATATATTGTTGGATTAGGTTTCCTAAACTTTTGTTAAGAACTCTTACATCTGTGTTCATGAGGGATGTTGGCCTCTTTTAAGTCTTTGGTTTTGGTAACAGGATAATGTTGGCCTCATAGGATGAGTTTGGAAGTGTTTCCACCACTCATTATTCAGTTTTCTGGAAGAGTTTGTGTAGAATTGGTATTCTTTCTTTCTTAAATAATTGGTAGGATTCACTAGTGAAGTCATTTGGGCCTGCAGTTTTATGTGTGAGGATTTTTACCTACAGTTCAACTTCTTTAGTAAATAAAGAACTATTCAGTTTATCTGTGTCTTCTTAAGTGAGCTTTGGTAGTTTGTGTCTTCTAAGGATTTGTATATTTAATATCAGTTGTTGAATTTATTGTAATAAAATCATTCATGGTATTTTCTTATTATCCTTTTAGTATCTGTAGAATCTATGGTGATGTCAGCTCTTTCATTCCTAGTGTTGGTAATTTGTGTCATTTTTTTTTTCCCCCGACCAATCTGGCTAGAAGTTTAGTACTTTTATTGATTTTCCCAAAGAACCAGTTTTTGGTTTTATTAATTTTTCTCTTTTGTTTTTCTGTTTTGTATTTCATTGGTTTCTACTTTATATTACTTTTTTCTTCTATTTACTTTGGTTTCATTTGCCTTCTTTTTCTAGTTTTTTAAGGTGGAAGCTGAGGTCATTGATTTGAGACCTTTCTTCTTTTCTAATACAGGCATTTAATCTTAAAAGTTTCCCTGTAAGTACTGCTTTAGCTGTATCCCAAAATTTTTGGTATGTTATGTTTTATTTTCATTCATTTCAGATGCTTTTTAATTTCTCTTTTGGTTTCTTTTAGCTCAAGAGTGATTTCAAAGTATATTATCTAGTTGCCAGATATTTGGGGATTTGTTAGATATCTTTCTATTATTGATTGCAAATTTGATTTCATTGTGATCAGAGGATGTATTTTGTACAATGTGAATCCTTTTTAAATTTATTGAGATTTGTTTTTTAGCCCAGAATATGGTCCATCTTGATAAATGTTTTGTGTCCACTTGAAGAAAATGTATATCCTGATGTTGTTGGATGGAGTATTCTATAAATGTCAGTTTGGTCCAGTTGCCTAGGTTGTTGACGTCTTCTATATCCTTAACCAATTTTCAGTCTACCTCTTTTATCTATTATGCATGAATGTTTGGATGTAAACAGAAGGGTGAGACACTTAATTTATCCTTATGGCTTGTGAAGAAGGTTAAGGGTATTTTTTGACCATCAGTCAGCAAAGGAGAAGGGTGAAGGTTGGGGTAAAGAGACTGAAGAAGGGTGAAGGTTGGGGTAGTTATTAAGAAGACCAAGAAAGGAGTTGAGTGATACTAAATCGGTATTTATAATCAGTGGGGATTTAAAGTTGGTTATGGAATTCTTCATCAACTCCCAACTTTATACATCAGCTACTAAGTGTTAACCCTGAAAGGGTACATGAATGGAGGCTACAAATATAGCTTTGACAAAGGGAGAAATCAATTTATAAATAATATAGAAAGCAGTGAGAAGAAGTCATGAGTCATTTTCTAAATTTTTAAGAGGGATTTCATTTTCTCAGCATAACTAACTAATAATTCTTTTACTAAATAGTTTAGAAGTGGCAGCACCAAAATGAACATTGTGAGCTCACCATGTGCCAAATACTGTGCTAAAAAAACTTTACATTTATTTTCTTATTTTATTCTCAACTCAAGGCTAGAATCAAGTACTGTTAATATTATTCCCATCTTACAAATAGGGAAATAGAGGAAATAAAGGTTCACTCAACTAGGAAATGATGAAACTGTGATTTGAGCCTGTCATATTTTATAGTGCATCTGTTATTAACTTCCCCATCTTCACTCCCCAATAAAATGAAGAATTCTTTTAATTACGAGTTTTACTAGAATAGCTCTTGTTCAGTAGGTGGCTATCAAACCTCTTTGGCCCGCAATAAGAAATGCATTTTACATAGTAGCCCTGTGTGCAAATTATATGTATATGTGTGTGAATGTATTTTATAAAAGTATACTTGGATTTCATTAATGGATTACAATCCAAGTTTGAGAAATACTGCTGCAAGTCAGGAGAATTATAAAAAAATGTGGACTATTATAATTGTGTGTGTGTATGTGTGTGTGTGTGAGGGGGTGGGATATGAGTTATTTTGATACCTGAAAAATACTATGTCTTATACAAAATTGAGTGCTAAAAAAAAAAAAGTTGGCTTTTTAAAAAGGTAGACTTGAGGAGTGATTTTTTTGTTTGTTTGTTTTTAAAGCTCTCTGATCCTTCTGATTTACCAAGGAATGCCTTTAGAATTTTTACCATTCTTGTGGAATTTTTATGTATTGAGCATATTGATTATGCTTTGGAAACAGGACTTGCTGGTAAGTATATTTGTGTTACACTTGTGTTAAATTCCTTTCGTCCTGCTTGGTTAAACTATATGCATAATATTGTTTATTTTATATATAATCATCTTTGCATGTCAAATTCAGTTCAGAGCAAAGAATTTTGAGCTTCTACCATGAAAAGATTTGCCAGGTGCCGAAAGCTGTACAAAATGGTCCTCTTATATTGTTTACATCCAGCAGAGTAAAGTAATAAGCTACGTAAGTCACTACAATATGTGACACAGTATAGGCACAACATATTATAATGCTGTGAGTTATAAAATGTCAAGGAACAGAAGTCAAGGTGAAAACAATTGGTTGGGGAATTGTGTATTGTAAGGTTTAGAAAGGAAAATATTAAAAAATAAGTCTGGAAAGGAATAGATTCATATTAAAATTTTTCTTTTGCTTTTGGTCCTTTGGGCTTACTACATAGTATTAGTAGTGTAACAATGACTTGTGTTCCAGTCTTATTAATCCAGTTGCCCACTTGATCTCTCCACTTGATCAGTAGGCATCTCAAATTTAACATATCCGAAATGAAAGTCTTTATCTTCCTTCTAAGCCTGTTCCACTCTTATTCTTCCCCATGTCATTAAAAGGCATTATCAATATGTATAATTATTATATGTCAATTAAAAAAAAAGACATTACCATTTACTAGTTGTTCAAACAAGCTTCACTCAAACCCAGGAGTTACCTTAATTCTTCTTTTCATCAACCCTGACAGCCAACCCATTGACAAGTCCTGTCAGTATATTAATACTTCCAACCATAACTCAAATTCATCTACTTTTCTGTATCTCCTTGGATGCCATCCTAGTTTAAACACCATCTTATCTGTCTACTTATAACTGGTTTCCCTCTATTACTGGCTTTGTGTAACAGCCAGTTTAATTGTCATTTCCCTATTTAAGACCCTTTAGTGGCTTCCTATTACTCTTAGAGGGAAACCAACAACAAACTCTTTAGAAAAGCATGATTTTTGATCCTAGCCTCTTACATATTCATCCTCATTGATATTTCATCCCCCCTCACTGCTCAAGTCACTCTGACTTTTGTTGTTTTTCCTCACTTAGGCTATTTGCAATTGATTTTCCCCATCCCTCAAATGCTCTTGCCTCAGCCCTTCTCATGGCTGGCTTTTCAACCAACTGATCTGAACTAAGATGTCACCTTCTCAGAGAGGCCCTTCCTGATTATCCTAACCAAAGTAGTCCTCCTCTTGCAGCCCAGTTACTCATTATCTCATCATTGAATTAACTTTTTTTATAGCAGTTATCACAGTGAAATTTTCTTCTATTAATGTTTACCTCCACTCACCAGAATTCATTCATTTAACACATACTTATTAAGTGTCTACTCCTGTACCTGTGGAGTTTTACATTCTTGTGGAAAAGATAGACAAATGTGTAGCAGTGCAATGAAAAAAAGTAAAACTAGGTAAGGGGTAGAGAATAGTAATGGGGAGTTAGGATAGAAGATTCAAGGGCAGAAGGCTTTTTTTTTTTTTTTTTTTGAAAGGATTGTCAGAGAAGGCCTCTCTAAGGAGACATGAATCAGAGAGCTGAATGAAGTGAAAGAGTAAATTGAGTATTTGGAGAGAGAGTGTTCTGGGTAGAAACAATAGCATGTAAGCTCTCTTAGGGGTAGGAATTTTGTCTGTTTTATTCATTGTTGTACTCTAACATCTAAAAAGTACATAGTAGATAACTCAAAATTTTTATGGACTATATACATTCCATAAAGTTTCTAATATTGAACCAAAATTAGCCATAATTCAGTCATTTTGCCTTAACTGTGGTTTTTCTTACCCATTTTTCACACTGTTGCTCTTATGACATAGGTGAGCATTTTTTAAAACTTAATTACAGCAGACCCTTGATATCAAATATTTAACGTTTGCCATTTGCAAATGACTTAATATGGCAGTTTATATTGGTAATACCTCAAAGATGTGAGGATAAAGAAGATAACAAAAAAGTAACATGAATTTATATATGTGTGGTATGAAGGATTTGTAATTTAGCTAGTATGAAAATCTGGCATCTCCAGGCACTATTCTCAATTTGGAAAGATTTAGGAAATTACCTTGTAGGATAGATTCCTCATATTCATAAGTATTTTCCAAGCAGCTATTTAGTTAGTATTCACTGCTATTATTTTTAATGATTTTATAAAATTCTGTCACATACATATAAAGTTACTACACTCTGTTATTAGACATCTTGCATCTTTTCAAGTTTTTGGTAATATAAATAATGCTGCATTGAATATTGTAGAGCTTAAAATTATTTTTCTGATTTTGATTAATTTTCTTTGGATAAAATCCCAGAGTGAAAGTGTGAGATAGATTTTGTATACAAAATTTAAAATTGTTGCTATATAATTTTTTTGTTTTTTCGTATCAATATAAACTATTTTCCTAAAGGTTTTCTTTCTCCACCAGTTTATGCTGCTCCTGGCATGTATGTATGTACCAGTGTTGCTATATAATTTTTTTGTTTTTTCATATCAATATAAACTATTTTCCTAAAGGTTTTCTTTCTCCACCAGTTTATGCTGCTCCTGGCATGTATGTATGTACCAGTTTTTCTGTAATTATTGAGTATTCCACAAAAACTTTAATAGTTTAGTGGTTAAAAACATACATCAATATTGCCTTAATTTTCATGTTTTTCATTAATAGCATAGGTTAGTATTTTCTGTATGTATAAATTTTTTTCTCTTGTAAGTTTATTTGTATCGGAGCCTTTAATTTTCTTATCAATTGGTAATTTTGTCTTTTGTGGGGAAAAAAATCACCTTTGTTTTGCATGTTTAAGACTTTGAAAAAAAATTATCATCCTAACAGTGGTCCCAACCTTTTCGGCACCAGGGGACAGGTCTCATGGAAGAGTTTTTCACGGACTGGGGTGGAGGTGGTGGTGATGTGTGCAATGGGGAGCAGCTATAAATACGCTTGTTGGCTGCTCATCTCCTGCTGTGGGTGCACTTCTCCCCCTTCCTAAGTTTCATGGAAGACAATTTTTCACTTGGGGCGGGGGTTGGGGGGAGGCGGGCAGGGTATGTATGGAAAGAGGGGGGAAATGGAGCTCTGTTCCCTAACAGGCTGCAGATGAGTGGGATTGGGGACCGCAGCTATAAAGGACTCTAGATATTAAGCCTGTATTTTCTCATTAGCTGTGAATATTTTTCTTAGTCTCTTACATCTTTTAATTTTCGCTAGAAACATAAACATCTAGAGCTAAAAGGGACCTTAGAGGTCTTCTGTTATTCTTTACAAAAAGAAGGAAACTGAAATCCAGAGAGGTCAGCTGACATTTTGGAGTCAGAATGTGGAGTGGCTTGATTGATTCTGTAGAGGGTAAGGAGATTTTGAGAATTTTTGAGGAAATAATGGAGAGCACTAGTAGTGGTAAGTGAAATGTGTAAGTTTAGGCACATTGCTATGACAGCGGTATATAGGATAAAATATAAAGAGACTTGAACAAGGAAGACCAATAAGAAAACTGTTTTCACTTTGGGAGGCAGAGGCAGGAGGATTACTTGAGGCTAGAAGTTCAAGACCAGCTTGGGCAACACAGCGAGAACTTGTCTCTACAAAAAATAAAAAAAATTAGCCCGCACAATGGTGCGAGCCTGTAGTCCTAGCCACTCGGGAGGCTGAGACAGGAGAATCGCTTGAGCCCAGGAGTTCCAGGCTGCAGTGAGCTATGATCCCACCGCCACACTCTAGCCTGTGCAGCAGAGTGAGGCTCCATCTCCGAAAAAAAAAAAAAAAGAAAAAATTATTTTAAGTATTATCAGAGATGAGAGGCCTGGTTATAAGAAAAATGGTAAGAATGTATTCCTGTCTCATGTGAATCATTGGACACCAGAGAGTTGAGAAAGGGAAGAAGGTAGAGCCCAAGATGGTTTGTTGATCTATTTTTTGATTTATCTAAGCAAATCGTGAAGGCTAAGTAGATGGTGAAAATTTAAACACCAAAATAACTTAGGGTGAGTTTTATTAATAATAAGCTTAAGTTTGTTTATATATTTCCTCTTCTGTCCATAAAAATCATTGCTGATTTGTTAAAACAGAAATTACTTTTATTTATGTGTATATAAAACCACATTCTTTCTTTCTACTGCCAAGATGAATTTCTTCAAGGGTAATTCTAACGTATGTATGCTTTCCAATTTTAGGCATTCCTTCTTCAGATTCTAGGAATGCAAATCTCTATTTTTTGGATGTTGTACAACAGGCCAATACTATTTTTCATCTTTTTGACAAGCAGTTTAATGATCACCTTATGCCACTAATAAGGTTAGTCAAATTTTCTGATTTTCATTGATATTTTAATGAATATTAAAATATTCTGCATATATTTTTATTAAATTTTAAAAATAGGACGTTTTCATAAAAATATCAAACAGGATAGGTGATATGAAATAAAACATAAAAGTCCTTATGAAATAAAACATAAAAGTCCTTATGAAATAAAATGTAAAAGTCCTTTTTCTTCATCCTTGTATTCCTGTTTTCTTTTTCTACTATGTTATTAATTTTGATATATTTGAAAAGACTTAATGTGTCGTAAACCTAGAACTGAAATCTGTTGTGAAAGAGGACCTCCAGCTTAGTGGAGCTCAGCAAATTTGACATCCTTCAAAAGATCCAACAGACACAGTCCACTTGTATCCACTTGTTGTAATATAAAGAGATACAAAAAAATTTATGAGATTAATAGGACAGATTTTGGTGAGGCATTGAGTAAGGTTTAGCTTATATCTTTATATCAATTTATGTGAACTTTTTAAAGCATGTGAGAAATAAGATAGTGTATATGTGAACATGCTTTGCAAAATTGTCTTTTTAGCACTATTATTAAAGAGAAAAAATATATAAAATTTTTGGCATTTTGTTATAAATATTGATATGCCAAGACTAGTCCGGAAACAGACTCAGAGATCACTTATGATTCTTTGAAAGGGAATTTACTTTTAAAGAACTGTTAGGCCACATAACAGAGAATTCACACAATTCTTAGGGTTGCACATTCCTTGATATTTTTAACATTTTTGATAGCATTCAGAAGACAAATATGATTGTCAAGTTTTTTTAAACTTAAGAAAGCTAAATATAACTGGATTGGCTGTTAGCCTCCAAATTTTAATTAGTATGATTTACTATGTTCTTAATACTCGTGATACCCTATGACTTTTCTTATTACTATACTAGATATTTATTTATAAAGGAAACCAAATAATTCCAAAATTTCAAAATCACATTCTTAGGTGATGTCTGTTTAGGGATCAGAGTAACAAATTTAAATCGTCCTCTTTCTTCCCTTTTAATTGGTTAATTGTTTCTAGTGTGACTATTACAATACATTAGGCATAGTGAATGTTAAGTAATTCCTTCTTACGTGCTGCTTGGATTTGTGAACAAATTAAAATAATATGTGTGTATATGTATTTATAAAGGTACATAATATAATAGCATTTGCATGTGAAAAGATTTAGAAATTATAAGGTTCTTAATGTGATTTTTTTTTTCCTCCTTTAAATATATAATAGCTCTTCTCCTAAGTTATCTGAATGCCTTCAGAAGAAAAAAGAAATAATTGAACAAATGGAGATGAAATTGGATACTGGCATTGATAGGCAAGTTGCTGGTTTTATTTTTTTCTCTTATAATTCTTAAATTGGAAAAACACTGTGTCATAGCAGCATGAAAATAATTTTTAAAGAAATCTATCTTAATTCTACCATCTTGTTATAACATTTGATTTTATTTTTGCATATTGCCTTCATCCTTATTAGAATGTTATTTTTGTTGGATTTTGAGGGTTTTTTTTATTTTGGACTATCTCAGCTTTTGACACGCTTTTCTCACTAAGCTTAATCATTGATTTAAAGTCAATTTATAAAAAACATAATATCTGCAAAGCATAACAAAGCAAAACACAATAAAACCAGATAGGTCTATATATCCAGAAGTGGGATTCTGGGTCATATAGTAGTTCTATTTTTAATTTTTTCAGAAATCTCTGTACTGTTTTCCATAATGGCTGTACCAATTTACATTCCTACCAACATTCCTACCAGTGTAGGAATTACATTCCTACCAGTGTACAAGTACTTTCTTTTCTTCACATTCTCACCAACACTTGTTATTTCTTGCTTTATTTGAAAAATAGCCATCCTAATAGGTGTGAACTGATATTTCATTTCCCTAATGACTAGTGCCATTGAGCACCTTTTCATGTACCTGTTGGCCATTTGTATAATATGTCATCCTTATAAAAATGTCTATGCAGGTCCTTTGCCCTTTTTAAAATTGGGTTATCTGTTTTTTTGCTGTTGAATTGCTTGAGTTCCTTATATGTTTTGGATATTAACCCCCTGTGGGATGTATGGTTTGGAAATATTTTCTCCTATTGGAGAAAATCACTTTATTGGTTCTCTTCACTTTATTGGTTGTTTTCATTACTGTGCAGAAACTCTTTAGTTTGAGAAAAATCTCACTTTTGCATAGTTTTGCTTTTATTGCTTGTGCTTTTGGGGTCATATCCAAAAAAATCTTTGCCAACACCAGTGTCAAGAAGCATTTTTTTTTGCTGAGCATGGCAGCTGATGCCTGTAATCCTAGCACTTCAGGAGGCTTAGGCAGGAGGATCTCTTGAGGCCAGCAGTTTGAGACCAGCCTGAGCAACATAGTGAGACTTCATCTCTACAAAAGTATGAAAAAATTAGCTGGGCATAGTGGCACATGCCTGTAGTCCCAGATAATTGAGAGACTGAGGCAGAAGGGTTGCCTGAGCCCAGGAGTTTGTGGTTGCAGTAAGCTATGATGACACAACTACACTCTAGCCTAGGCGATAGAATGAGACCTTGTCTCAAAAAAAAAAAAAAAAAAGGAAAAGAAAAGAAATTTTTTCCTATATTTTCTTCTAATAGTTTTACAGTTCTAGGTCTTATATTAAAATCTTTAATCTGAGTTGATTTTTTTGTATAAGGGTGCAGTCTCATTTTTATGTGTGTATATATCCAGTTTTCCTAGCACTGTTTATTGAAGAGACTATCCTTTCACTGTTTTGTGGCTTTGGTACCCTTGTTGAAGATGAGTTGACCATAAATGCATGGATTTACTTCTGGGCTCTGAATTCTGTTCATTGGTCTGTTTGTCTTTTATGCCAGTACCATACTGTTTTAATTACTATAGCCCTGTAATATATTTTGAAACCAATAAGTGTGATGTTTCCAGATTTTTTGTTGTTTTTGTTGTTCTTACTCAAGATTACTTTGGCTACTCAGGATCTTTTGTGGTTCCACTTGAATTTCAGGTTTGTTTTTTCTATTTCTGTGAAAAATCCTATTGGACTTTTGATAGGGAATACATTGAATCTGTAGATCACTTTGTGTACCATGGACATGTTAACAATATTAATTTTTCCAATCCACAAATATGGGATGTGTTTCCATTTATTTATGTCTTCTTTAATTTCTTTTAGCAATATTTTATAGTTTTCAGTATATAAGTCTTCTAGTTCTTTGGGAGGCTGAGGCAGGAGGATTACTTGAGGCCAAGAGTTCAAGAATAGCTTAAGCAACATAGCAAGACCCTGTCTCTACAAAAAATAAAAAAAAGTAGCCAGGAATGGTGGCATGTGCCTGTAGTCCCAGTTACTTGGGAGGCTAAGGCAGGAGGATTACTTGAGCCTGGGAGTTAGAGGCTGCAGTGAACTATGACCACACCACTGTACTCCCGCCTAGGCAACAGAGCTAAAAAAAAGAAAAAGAAAAAAACGAAAAAGAGGAAGCCTTTATGTTTATCTATAGCACAGTCAAGCTATTGGAGAAACTGTATAGCATCATAAGTGTGAAACATCTTACAGAAGAGTATGGTGTTAGAATGACCACTATATGTGACCTAAAGAAACAGAAGAAAAACTATTGAAGTTCTGTGCTGAAAGTGGTGAACAGAAGTTAATGAAAAATAGAAAAACACTACATAAACTAAAAATGAAGGTCTCAATCATGTACCGAAAGAATGGATTCATCAGCATTGTAGTGAACACATGCCATTTAATGGTATGCTGATCATGAAACAAAAATCTATCCTGGATGAACTGAAAATTGAAGGGAATTGTGAATATTCAATAGGCTAGTTGCATTTTAAATATTTGTGGTGAAAAAGCATCTGTTGATCATGAAGCAGTGGAGAAATTCATTGACAAGTTTGCCAAGGTCATCACTGATGAAAATCGGATGCCAGAACAAGTCTATAATGCTGATGAAACATCACTGTTTTGGCATTATTGCTCCAGAAGGACCCTGACTACAGCTGATGAGGCAGACCGTTAGGAATTAAGGATGCCAAGGACAGTATAACTATACTGGGATGTACTAATGTAGCAGGCACGCATAAGTGAAAACTTGCTGTAATAGGCAAAATCTTGCATCCACACTGCTTTCAAGGAGTGAATTTCTTGCCAGTCCATTATTATGCTAACAAAAATGCATGCATTATCAGCAACATTTTTTCTGATTGGTTTCATAAACATTTTGTACTAGTGGCTTGCTTTTACTGCAGGGAAGACGGACTGGATGACAACTGCAAGATTTGTCATTTGACAACAGATCTGTTCATCCTCCAGGTGAAATTCATTAAAAGTCATGACTGTACTTTTTCTCAAATGTAGCTTCATTAATTCAGCCTCATGACCAGGATCTTCTTAGATCAATGAAGAATAATTATAAAAACACTTTGTTGTTCAGCATGCCAGCAGCATCGAAAAGAGGTATGGGTGTGGAAGGTTTTCAAAAGGAGTTTATCATGAAGGATGCCTTATGTGCTGTTGCCAACACCTGGGACACAATGACTAAAGACATAGCTGTGCATGCCTGGCCTATGACTATGTTCAGTGATGATGATGAACAAAGTAATGACTTTGAAGGATTCTTTCTGTATGTGAAGTGAGGAAAAAAATGTCTGACCTGTTTACATATGCAAAAAATACACCTTCAGAGTCCATCAGTAAGCTGAACAAAGTGGAAATTGAAGAGGTTTAACATCAATATTGAGGGTCCAGTTATTCATTCATTGACTGATAATGAAATAGCCAAAATGGTTCTGAATCAAGGTGATCGTGATAATAGCGATGATTAAGATGATGTTGCCAACACTGCCGAAAAAGTGCCTATAGACGACATGGAGAAGAAAACGTGCTATAGGCTTAGTAAAGGATTAGGGCAGCGTGCATTCATAACAGAACAAAGAACCATGTCAGTTTGTAAAAATTAAAGAGAGACTTCTAAGATAAAAACTCTTGTTAATGTGGCAGGTGACTGGAGGAAACATTTAAAAAGCCATTCAGCAGAATGCCTGCTCATCCCTAGAGGACCTGCTTCCTCGTCCCTCAATTGCTTTGCATGTTTCTTGTCACCTAAAAAAAAAAAAAAAAAACAGTACAGTGCACAGTAACCTTTTAATCAAAATACAACATCATAGGTGGAGACTGAAAGCCTGCCATTTGTCGTTGCTGCTGTTTAATAGCCAATGCAAATATTATGGTATTGCCACTGTGTTTAGTTACCCTGAACACGTTATTTTTTTCACTGTACTAATGGCACGTCATATTTTTTACTGTTAAATACTTACATGCGAATAAATGTAAAAAAAATGGTTGTTCTCTGGTAGCATATAAATTCAGAGTCAGGCATGATGGTGATGCCAAACGACCACAGATTGTCCACATGGGTAGCTGAGATAGTCACACCCTTGCTTTCTGATGCTTCCGTTTCATGCACAAAATTATGAAAAGTGTTGTATAAAATTACCTTCAGGCTTTGTGTATAAGGTATATATGAACATAAATGAATTTTATGTTTAGATTTGGGTCCCATCCCCAAGATATCTCATCATGTATATATACAAATATTCCAAAATCTAAAAAAATCCAAAACACTTCTGATTCTAAGTATTTTAGATAAGAGTTACTCAACTTGTATATTGTTTTGCCTTTGAAGATCCTTGGTTGTTAAGGGAACGAATTAGTAACAGGCTTCTAAGATTTTTAAGATTTTCTTAAATAAAGTATTGTTCAAAGAATATGCCCTCTGTTTTGAGCAGGAAGATGATAAAACCAAGAGCTCTTTGATATTAAGACCTAGAACTTACTTTTTCTAAAATCTAGAGTTTACCGACAGCAAAATAGTTTTATGGTGGCATGAAATTAAATAATTTTCATTTAATTTAGCACAAGTAATATAAAAGTAAATGTAGAATAAATTACATGATTAAATATATTGTGTTCTTAATTCTCTAGGACATTAAACTGTATGATTGGACAAATGAAGCATATCTTGACTGCAGAACAAAAGAAAACAGATTTTAAGCCAGAAGATGAAAACAATGTTTTAATTCAATATACTAATGTGAGTAAAATGATTCAATTTGCTAAAAGAATATCTGCTTTGTTAATACGTTGTTAACATTTTCATTGTTGTATCTTACTATGCCCTAAGTTTTTTTTTTATACTTAGAGATTAATGAGAAACTGTATGTATTTTCTCTTTAGCTGAGCTAATATACGTTTCTGTATAATAAGTGTATAAAAACTTTTACAGGCCTGTGTAAAAGTCTGTGCTTATGTACGAAAACAAGTGGAGAAGATTAAAAACTCCATGGATGGGAAAAATGTAGACACAGTTTTAATGGAACTTGGAGTACGTTTTCATCGACTTATTTATGAGCATCTTCAACAGTATTCCTACAGTTGTATGGGTGGCATGTTAGCAATTTGTGATGTAGCTGAATATAGGAAATGTGCCAAAGACTTCAAGGTATGTATACATAAATATCAAATTTGTAAATAGGCTCAGGAACATAAGTCAGACTGTTAAAAATCTATATTTACTTGTATGTAATAACTAGTGAAAAGTTTGTAACTTTTGTTGATATTGTGTGAGAGAGATCTAATACATCTTTACCTGAAGAAGTGTTGTTCCAATCATATTTTCAATATTAACACATTTTGCCTCATGTTTTATTTTCAGTTCCACAGTCCTGACCTTATTGACATCCATGGCTAATGCTATATATGTCACACATTAGGAAAATAATACCCTTTCTTCATGTATGTCTCTCTGAAATCATTTTTTCCTAAGGTTTGAATTATTTAAGAAAAGTGCTATATTAATGATAGATAACTAGTTCTAGTCCACCAAAGTATAAAATGATTGTTACTATTAAAGGAAAGTGACATAATACCTTTTTAAAAGATTATAGATTTTATGTAACTACTGAAATCTTTGAGTTTTAACCCTTTAGGTGCTTTAAAAAAATTTCTCATGTCTAGAACTCCTCCCATACCAGTAAGTCCTGACTGACTGTATGTGAGAAGTTACAAACTAATTGTAAAACTGGAAATTATTTCGTTTCAATGTTATTTTTTTCCTTCTCTCAATTCAGATTCCATTGGTATTACATCTTTTCGATACTCTGCATGCACTTTGCAATCTTCTGGTAGTTGCCCCAGACAATTTAAAGCAAGTCTGCTCAGGAGAACAACTTGCTAATCTGGACAAGAACATACTTCACTCCTTCGTACAACTTCGTGCTGACTATAGATCTGCCCGCCTTGCTCGACACTTCAGCTGAGGTTCAATTTACAAAGGGAATGTGTTGTACTTCAGCAGGCCTTGGTTGATAGAAAGCACAGGAGACTCCTTATGACACAGCCAACATTTTATGGAAAAAATGACTGGAAGAAAACAGCAGCCATAGTTACCTTTGAGGTTTTATTTGATGTTTGGACATCACTTAGCTATATTTTGCTTTTCCCCCCTAAGTTGAATTTTAATTCCATTCTTGAACTTACAAATTTCAAGTTCTGTAAAACTAGATGTGACTGTTTTCATTCTGGAAAATGTCGGTATCAGAAGGCAAATGAAATATTACCAGTGTTCTGGTTTTAGTTCTTTAACATATTCCATTTGGAAATTTTACCATTCTGTTTTGCATTAATAATAGGTGAAATACAGCAAAACCAAGTTTAATGTTCACCAATTTTTAATGTCCTTTTCAGCACTGGTAATTGTTAATCAAGTTATTTTAAGTTTTCCCAAGGAACTTTTTGCCTCTTTCAAAAGGTTAACAGCATAACTTCTGCAGTTGGTTGATTGGATTTTTTCTGAGGTAGAACAATAATACGATTCCAAGAAAAATGTCATAAACTAAATTAAAATGGTGAAATGTTTTATGTAGATATTAGGAGTGGTTCATAATACGTCTGCTTTCTGGGTAAGACTTAAAGTTTACTATTTCTTATTTGGTAAATAGATTTTAAGCCAATTCTAGCAAGGAATTAATAAAACTACCTTATTTTATATTTCATTTTTAGATAAGGTAGCAGACCTTAACTAAAGAACTGTGTATTTATTCATTATTTTAATA